ATGAGGAAGGAAATAGCAGAAGATGTAAACAGGTGGAAAACCATACCTAATTCTTAATGGCTATAAGAGCTCTTCAAAAGCCCTTTCCCTAGAAAAATTAATATTAAATATTAATATTATAGAAGATAATCTAACAACTAAAAGATTTGCAAAATGGTGCTACCCCATTTATTTCAAAGCAATATCTGATACAAAACAAAGTGGAAAAAAATCCCTTGGTACTCTAAGGCCATAGATCTATAAGTAGTTGGTCAACTTAATCTCAGCGTAAGTGTACCTGGATGTGTTTATGTGCTTCTCATTTCCCCTCTCTGAACCTGCCAAAGTCCTTCCAGGGCCTTCATTTCCATTTCCAGGGCCTTAGTCAATTAGGCATTGACTCTGCTCTGAACTGTCAACTTTTTCCCTTTTAACATCTTTTCCCCTAAAGACGATATATTTATAATGTTTTCCTATTTCCACCCTAAGAGTCACCCACATGCACATGCACGAGCACACGCATAGTTTGTTCACTCTGTGACCCTATATAGCTGCTGTGTGTTACCTTATTCTCTCATAGCTAAGTTATGTGAAAAATATTCTCTATCCTGCTCTCAGCAACATGGCTGACTAAGCCTTTATAGATCCCTAATCTGCTATCAGCATATGGAAATAACTGGAGAAAATATTTGAACATTTATAAAAATGTTCTTATATATAACAAGCTTTTAAAGAAAGATGAGAAATAACCCTGTAGAGGAAATAAAAAGAAAACTTACAAAGCCAAAGCAGTAAGTCCATGAACCACTGCTACAGTGGTCCAGAGAGACATGAAGGTACAGGGTACGCTGCCATTGGTCTAGCTCTGTGTTCTTTTCCATCCCTAGCAGAAAGAGTTCTCTCTCACTTGGGATGGATAACAGCACACTTTTATGGTTTTGCCCTTCAGTTATAATATGGTCCAAAGGGACTTCTAGACAATCCTCAGAATATCAATTGTTCTACTGTATTAATGACATCCTGCTGCTATTTGGAACAGATTAGCAAGAAATGGTAAATACATTGGAGAACATGGGGCAAAATAAACCCTATGTGGGGCCCAACACATCAGTAAGGGTTTTAGAGGTCCAGGCTTGAGGCATGGAAGAACACACTCTGCAAGATAAAAACCACTAAGTCTATCTCACCCCTCTGACCGCCGGGAATGAAACACAAGGCACCTGCAGGCTGTGAGTCCAGAGACTCTGGTTCCCACAGAGCATAGAGTATCCTCCCAGGGACACAGGAAGAGTCCTGTTAAAAACTAAGCTGCAGCTGCACCAGGCCGCTTCAACCTCCTTGAACTAAGACACAGGCAGGAAGAAAAATTTACCATACTACAGGAGCCATTGATCCTAATCATCATTAAGAGGAAAGCCACTGCTACATATGGGGCCAGGAGGAATCCATATGGTATCCAGGTGGCCCACCGGAGCATCTAATGCCACCTCCCTGTGCAATTTTAATACCCTTGGCAAATGGACAAGGGCAGCAGTTACGGCTTGATAGTGCTGTGAGCCAGGACTCCAGACTGTTAGGCTTTACGTACCACAGCAACTAACGTCAATAACACTTACTGTTATAAACCATGAAGACACTTCAGAGAGGGTTTTAGAGAATGTCTGCCTTGAATAAAAATAGCAGAAATGAGTACCAGGTAACAGGAGTTTACCAGATAGTGAGAAGTGAAAGACTAGGACTGAGACACATACATGTAGTCAGCACTGAGTGAAGACAGAGAGTTGTTTAACTCCCTTGAAGGAAAACCATTACCCAGATACAGGTGTGGAGTGTAACCACGGGAAGGAAGCTGGAGTGGCAGTGATAGAAGTGCATTTTTGCATATTCACTTTGGAAAAGAAAGACATTTATAAGTTAGTTACAGGGAGTCAAAAGTGATAGATGAGTCACCCAGAAATTCTCGCCTTCTATCACTATCTATACATAGTCAATTCACATACATATACATACAGAGAGATAGATGAATGTATATGTTGATTATAAATACATACATAGATACACAGGCAATGGTATATGTATCTCAATAGATACATACCATGTGTATGTATTTCACATAAAATAATCAGCTGGAATTCTTGATACTGTTATGAGGT